CTTTCTTTGGAAGCTCCGTACGAATGAGTAGACTGCGATCTTCAAATTAACATTTGTCAAACAATATCTACGGTGTGATCTTGTTCATTGTTTGACTTTTCTTGAAAGTAATTTCTTCTTGTATTATTTCCGTGTAGCAGTCATTTTCTCCCGTAGGGTCTGTCTCCACCACCAAGGGATGGTATTAAACATACACAAGTCGTGTGGGTTGGTTTTATGATCCTTTCATGTCTAGATGTACAATCCTCTTTTTTTAGTTTTGTCAATCCTTTCATATATGTAATATACACATTTTATCAAATGTATACACGCAAGCTCCGGTGTGTTTTTTGTAGATATGTTTAGACTGTTATACTTAGGTTTTTGATTAATTAGTTCTGATTTAATTTAGGTTTTCGGTCGACTTGGCATGTACTGGGGAAGGAAAATCTGATCTTGCAGCGCTCTTTAGAGTTGTATTTAATGATGGTAACCACGTGAATACTGTAATTATAAATGATCTATTTAACGGTACCTATGGGAAGGCAGCAGCTATGTATGATTCCCCCTTTGAATTCAATGTTCCTTTCACGATGGTGTGGGTACTACGCCCACCTCTCTTGCAGGTAAGTTTTGACATCGTGTGATTATTAGTTTATTTGGTGTGATATCCAATTATGCAACTGAGATAAATTATGCTGCTTCATATGACTAACCTATACTCAAACTAAATTTGTGTGCTGGTAATTAAGATTTACGCTAATTCCTTAAAAGTGGTACAAATTTCTTTATACGACAGAGTCAACAATATTTAGAATCAACTATACTTGCAGTCGGCGATATTTAGAATCGACAGTATTTAGAATTGATGATTCTTATAATCGAAAATACTTAGACACGGTGACATTAAATATTGAAGATACTCAGAGTTGTCTTTACTTATAATCGACGATACTTAGAGTAGCGATACTCATCACTGGAGAGGAAAAAAAATGAAACATGTTTCCAGAGTTTCTTCCAGGCAACTCTTGGGGGGGGGGGGGGGGTAGAGAGGGGGGTGTCTGCTACCCCCTCCCCCGAAGTAAGTCTACCACCCCAACCACAACGAAATGGAATTTATATAGAAAACATATACTTTACCAGTGTCCACCCCCCCCTGAAAATGTTGTACATCCCCCACCCCCCGAGAAAGAAGTCTGGAAGAAACGCTGCATTTTCCAACTTTGACAGTATTTCCGCCAAAAACATGTGTTGCTACTATATTTGTATCAACTAATTTTGGGAAATAAGATGTTGATATTTTCTATTAAAATAACTACTTTAACATTTTTTCAGATTACAGTTACTACAGCTGAGAGTTCTAGCAGGAAAGATTACTCCAAGACCAACCTTAGTTCATGCTATGACCGGATAGAGCATTGGGGAAAATTGACAATATCTCTGCTTCATATGACTTAAACATCTATTTCTTCCTGTGAACAATTGAGTTTGCTTAAGGGAAATAAAACTATTGCTGTTGCTTCATTTTTTAGTTTAAATTCATGAATAAAAAAAACAAAACAGGTTCATGCATTAAGATCATAACACCACAAACCAGTATTTTATTGACAATATTTCTGCTTTTTATGACTTAAACATCTATATCTTCATGTGAACATGAGTTTGCATAAGGGAAATTAAACTAATGCTAATGCTTCATTTTTTACTTTCTCGTATATACGAAGTATAGAGAAAGTATTGTAATCGTGCAAAAGAAAAATCGAGATTTTTACAAATCTCGACGTTTTACATCTCACTGATAGGGAAAAACATAATTTGCAATCTTGTCCGTATGTCTGTGTGTCTGTCTGTCTGTCTATGTTTGTGTGTGTGTGTGTGTCTGTGTGTAAACACGATTACTTGAGTACCGTTACAGCTAGGTTGATGAAATTTCATATATAAGTACGTTATCAAAATCGTAGATCCTTATTAACTTTTTAGCGATTTCCGATAACCGGAAGTGGTACTTTTCCTACTTTGAATTTTTCAAAAGCCTATAACTTGAGTACTATTTCAGATAGAAAAATAAAATTTCACATGTAAGTAAAATATCTAATTCTCTAACTTCTGTTAAATTTTTAGTAATTTCCGTTGACCGGAAGTAGTCATTTTCTCAAAAAACTAATGTAAATTTTTAAAGTACTAATAATATTGCGCACTATTATGCACTTCTTAATTTGGCGTTCACTTGGTGTGCAATTCTTTTGTCTACGAGATTTTATTCTATTTTAAAAACTTTAAGTATTTAAAATGGATTAAAAATCATGTCTATAGCCCGAGTTCCCATCCCGTGTTATTTTATATAAGAATATTGTGTATTTTGTCAATGAAAACAATTATTGTGACTTTAATTGTTTTACTCTCCCTGGCCAATCCGGTTGTCTTTAAGGAGAGGTTGAGGCGGTTTTTTTTTTAAATTTTGAATTGATAAAATAATTTTAAACGGCTTTTACTCGGCTTATATTCAATACAACAAAATGAAAATGAGTGTAATCGAGGGTTCCAAATCAACTTTTAAAAAATATAACTATAATTTTATCCCCTGCCATAATTTTAAAAAGATTTTAAAAAATTATTATTATATCGACTTTTCAAGCCCATTGTAACTGCTAGTTTTCAAACAGTTTTCTACTCTATGAAAAGTATTATTTTTAAGTTGTTAAACTAAAAAAACAACAAGGAGATATTGATTTTAAACAAATCTTTCTAGATTTACTCTTGAAAGAGTAATGGTTTAAACAGGCTACTGACGAGACTTCTTTTTGGCTGTGTTGTGATGGTTTTATATTTTAAATTGTTTCTTGTTTTGTGTGATTAATTGTTTTGTGTTTTCGGCCCATAGGGTGTCTTGTTCTTTGTTTTTCTACAGACTAATGTTTGAATGTATTTTTCACTTTAGCGAAGCAATGTCATATATATATATGGTGCCTTTTCTGGCCACTACCGCTAATCCGAAAATATCTGTATGCGTCTCTGAGTTAATGTTTCATGTTTTTTGTAATAGATGTGACAAAATATTCCTGAAAAATTACGAAATAAAATGCATTTTCAATATAAGGAAAATAATTTTTTAATGCTTGCTGAGTTTCAATGCTCAAGGTATGTAATTATTGTACCTTCTATTCTACGATGTCTAATGTTTTCACATTCTGTTAATGTTTCTGAAAAATGATAAATTCATAATTCTGGATTTTTACGAAACTGATCATTTAAAAATTTAGTTTAATATTTTTGTTTCACTTAAATCAACCAATCATATATCAGACAAATTGTTACCGACCCTCCTCTGTACCAACACTTACGCGCGCCGAGTTTCCATATCCCTCGCTCTCTACGCATATCGCTACCACCCCCATTCCCACCAGTCTGGTGAGCTGTGGTACTCTCGAAATGTTTACAATCGAAGAGGCGGGTCGAATAAGTGACGGCTATTACGGGCAGTCAATAAAAAAACGATTTGAAACTAAGGGGAGGTAATAACAAGTTCATTGGTAGTGTCAAATTCACAAATTATAAATTAGTGAAAAGTAGAAAATAAAACAACTAAACAGCGGCGTCGAGCCGGCTCGTCATTTATAATTTAAAAAAAATAAAATATAAAAAAATTAAATAAATAAAATAAAAGGCTTTTATCTGCACCGAAAATAAGAAAATAAGACAAATCTTCTTTCTTTAATTTAAGCTATGGTCACTCATTGAAATCTTCAACATATTTTAGCGACAAAAGCTTTTATTTTAGGGGGAAAATTAATTTTGTTTTCTTGTTTTCAGTGCATTCAAAAGCTTGTTATTATAAGGGTTTTATTTTGTTTTGTTTTAAAATGTATAGTCATTCGCCTGAAACAAAAAGCTGACACTAAATAGGAGAGAGCAACACACAAAAATTGTTTGTTAAACCAACCAATTGCTTGTAATCTTTAAAAGACAGTCATCTGTCCCTTAGTCTTATAGGGAACCACTTGTCATGTTGAGCTTTGCAAATCACGAAGCAATCGATATGTGATTTTTCTGTCTTGATAATCGGCAGTAAAAACTGAAACAAAGGAGAGGAGTTACGTCACTATACCAAAGGTTTTTTTTTATCATGAGCTTTACCTACTCGACCGCGCGAACCACCTTGGGTATTATTTCCGGCTATTTCGTGATAGAGAAGCAATAAGAATAGTTATTAGGTCGCTATTTATCATACAGTCTGAAGTGGTTCAATGGTCGACCGGGTTATAATTAATATGTTGGAGAAATATGTTTAGATAGCCAGATTAGGGTATAACTCTCTGCATTGTTTTAAGATTGTTCTCTCTCTTTGCACATCAGTGGTGACATCACAACACAAAAGACTTTCAAAAAATATTCCGAATCAGCAAAATATAAATAACAGCGTTAGTAAACATTTTATCTAACATTTAATTGCAAGACATGTAATTTTAATTGATGAGATTTAACCTATTATTCAGTTTTTATAATTGATTTGTTTCAAGCATGATATTGTGTTGACCATGATAAATCAAGGTTTTCCCATAATGAGCTTTACCTACTCGACAGCGCCAACCACCTTAAGTATTATTTCCGTCGATTTCATGATAGAGAAGCAATAAGGATAGTTATTAGGTGGTTGTGGTTCAATGATCGACCGTTTTAATTCGGTATTCTTAATATGTTGGAGATATATGTTTAGATAGGTTTACCTCTATTTTTTTTTACAATCTGTTGCGTCTGGTGTAATGTGGTAAAAAACAATTTGCTAGCATTTTTCCATATATTAATCAATGTGTTATTATCTTTAACTACAAGATGAACGTTGTAAAAACCAATATGTAATTTACCGTAATTGATTTCTTTTGCAACGATCTACTCGACATCGTTTGATTTAACTTCAGCGTTTGTAATCCAGTCACCGACACCGAAAAATCTGTAAGTATCACGTTTTGTTGACGTGGTTCTGATGACCGGATATAGTTGTCTTTTGTTTAATTTTCTTCGGCCATCTTTGTTCTACGTGTTAAAGAAAAGTGAGTAGCAACACATTTTGAAAACCTGTACTAGTGCACTAGGCACGTTCTCCTGTATATTATACTCGTTTTATTTAAAATTTAACCGTCATTAAAGTGAAACTAAGAATTTTTAATAAAAAAGTTGCGATACTTTATCTAACAGAGGCATCAGTTGACAGTTTTAAAAAATCCTGTTTAGTATAGACGCATTAAAGATTTGTGTCTATGTTATGTAATCAAAGTGGTAACTAAAATATAAAATCTCTTAATAAATTTCCAGGTTAATTGATTAAAAACTCAATCTATTTTTTTGTAGACGTCGGACCTCTAGCAATACAATGATGCTTCATCATATGCTCTTTGTATTTCTGTCAATTATCCTTTCCTTGGGTTGTGTGGACACTTATCAGATCCAGACCTTCGACAACAGCACATTTTACCACCCTAAATGGTCGTTTGCTGATGGTAAAACAAATGTAAGTGTTCATTAATCTGGCTTTGTTTTCTTTAGTTTATGACTTGGTTATTGTTTAAAGCATTTGGTCAAAACTTTATAAAGCTGAAACTTTGTCCACTTTAAGAGTAAAAATGCAGCTCCAGACAAAAATATAAACCTAATCGGTTTAGGTCACATCAAATTCTATATTTTATAAAAGGAATTCGTTTGGAGCCGACATAAGACAAAATGAAACGAAAAATCAATATTGAAACAAAAAGAATGACAACAACAGTAGGCATATATGTATATATATATATATATATATATATATATATATATATATATATATATATATATATATATATATATATATATATATACACATTAAATTACACATATTACATATTATATCTTATATATTGTTAATTTGATCAGATTAATAGTTTGTTTACAAAACCACTACACAAAATATCTATCATACTTTTATGATTACATCTGGTTTCATATCAGTACAAAAAATATTCTGAACTTTGATACAACAACAATTTGCAACAAACACAGTTGTCTTAAAAATTGTTTTGTGACTTCTAATCTGATCGTAATTTACGCAGTACCCAATCCCTTACTATGGGGAAATTCGATTTCCAATGTACGACGGGAAAGAGGTTATCATTGAAGGAGTGACAACGTCTTCAACGAAAAGGTGACTGCTTGTGTTTTATTTATTTAAGATGAAAAGTTCCAATTTCTACAGTTTAGGCAGCGTGTGTTAGATACGAGTAGATTTATACAGATTTATAGACCCAACGTTTTCCACGAAATGCCGTCAGTCTATTTTTGTTATCATGTATAAAAATCATGTTTTTGAAAATTAATTTTTCATATTTAAAGCAAATCTAAAGCTTGAAAGAAAATATCAGATTAGTAATCGCTTAAGAATCAATGTTATTAAATTTGCAATTAATTGCAGAGAATTTATTAAACGTTTGACTCTGTCTAATGATTAGTTACAATTTATTTTGAAGTAATTTTAAAGTTATTTAAATTGTATTTAAAGTTTTAATAACCACAACAGTGGCGTCTCCAGGATCGTCTCATGAGGGGGGGGGTTCAAGTTTTTTACATGATTATATATATATATATATATATATATATATATATATATATATATATATATATATATATATATATATATATATATATATATATATATATATATATATATATATATATAATCATGTGAAAAACTTGAACTTGTATAAAAGAAACTCTTCACGCAAACCACTTAGATTAGACAAAATTTCCTTTTATTCAATGTTTACTCGAGAATCAATGACGTCATATTACTGTGTGCACTCTCCGGCTTGATATTATTTTCCACTATATGACGTCATATTTCATTTTCGTTTAACTATGCATGTTTTTAAATTGCTTGTGTTTTCTCTAGAGCGTTCTTGTCAGATAGATAGATACACAGATACATAGATACACAGACAGCGAAACTATTATTATAGAAGAGAAAAATGGCCCGTTGAGGAAGGATACAACGGGCGCTAGGTTGATAGTGCTGTCTCTTTTCTCTAAACTAAAACCAAAACCAAAATCACCGCCTAAATTTAACCTGAAACGAAAAATGCATTGAAAACGGATTTCTAACTTTATACAAAATATAGTCATAGGCATATCCCTAAACGGTGCACCTAATCTCATTCATGACAAAAGCCACATTTAGAGTTTCTTTCAGGCAACTCTACTTGGTAAGAGGGGGCTCAGCCCCCCCACCCCCCCCCCACACACACACCCCCCAAAATATGTCTACCGTCCCATACAACGAAATGTAATTATATACTTTTTCCAGTGTCCGCCCCCTCCCAGAAAATTCTACCCCCGTCCCCAAAAAAATTCAAGTACCCCCACCCCTCGCCGGGGAGGAAAAAGTCTGAAAGAAACACTGGTCGCATTTGTAGATCATACAAAGTAAAGGAAGAACCTGGGCGGGGCTTCGCACCTACCGGAAGAGATGCATGAAAAAAAAACTGCAAGCTAAACACTTTTTGTTTTTAAACACTGGTGTCGCACTTAGCCACTACCCGAAGAATTGCATTAAAGAAACTGCAAGCAAACCACCTTTTAGATTAGACACATTAATTAGACGGTAATTTTATTATAGAGTATCGATGAAGAAATTTCTTTTGAGTTGGGGGGGGGGGGGGGCTTAGACGTTCTTTCGCGAGGGTGGGGCTTCGCCCCTACCCGAAGAATTGTACGAATGAAACTCTTCACGCAAACCACTTAGATTAGACAAAATTGCCTTTTTATTCAATGTTTACTCGAGAATCAATGACGTCATATTACTGTGTGCACTCTCCGGCTTGATACTATTTTCTACAATACGCTAGGCCTAAATATGACGTCATATTTCGCTTCCGTTTCACTATGTATGTTTTTAAATTGCTTGTGTTTTCTCTAGAGCGTTCTTGTCAGATAGATAGATACACAGATACATAGATACACAGACAGCGAAACTATTAGTATTAATAACACTACGGGGATGGGTGGGGGGATGGCAACTTGGAATATAGACAATACTAGACTACCCGTTATCTAGTTAGCTAACAGTGGGTTTCGGGGGTCATCCATAAACGACATAACAAAATAACCAGAACCAACATTAAAAAAGACGTTTTTTATCTTTTAAAAACACCGATTTCGGCTAAACACGGGTCTGACCACACTATCCCTTCATATACTGACGTCACAGGTGACCTATGCAACTGTAATTCACCTGCCCAGTGTCCTGTCAAGTCTCAGACAACATGTTTCTATCGCTCTGACCACACTATCCCTTTATATGCAGAGGACAAAGAAACAGATGAACTCTACTTCACCTCAGTAGCGTAGCGAGGGGGGGGGGGGGGCGGGGGGGGGGGACATATGTCCCCGGGCGCCGACCTTAGGGGGGGGCGCCAAATTGAAAGTTTGAGGGGGGGGGGTGCAAATGAAAAGTTCGAGTGAGGGTGCAAATCGAAAGTTTGAGGGGGGGTGCAAATCGAAAATTTGCTCCCAAGGGGGCGCCAAATTGAAAGTATGTCCCCGGGCTCCGGGAAGGGTCGCTACGCCTCTGCTTCACCTGCCCTGTATCCCGCCAAGTTCCGATTGGCAACTTTATTTTTTTTAAATATTGGCATGATGTGTCTAGAGCCAGCATGGAAGCCTATTACACTAACAACTTAGCTATCCAGACTCGTGACGACAATGACGTTTTTTGTGTTATATATTAATAGTTTGAGTCTGCTTAAGAAACTTGATTTACGTGAATAGACCCTATATCTAGATCTAGTATCTTTCAAATTAAATTTTATCTTAAATTAGCCAATTCCATAGCTAAACAAAGATTTATATAAAATAATGAAGGTCGGAAATAGGTTAGTATAGAAACTCATTATTATCTAGATCTAGAAAGAATTATCTAAATTCTACGACTGGTTTGGTTAAGTCGAGTTTTCGCCGTAACTCTAGAACCTAGATAGATAAATCACTTGTTTTCTTGAATTAGTTGATCCGTGAAGCTAAAAAGCAAAGATTTACATCAAATATTTCATGACAAAAATAATTTAATCAAGAAACTCAATAGTTTTACGTGTGTTTTTAATTAGGCCCTATTGATTTTATTTTTAACTAATTAATTTTGGTTTGACCTAGATCTAGATCTAGATTCACAACTTTTTCTTCCTTCGAAAGCTGATCTGTAGATCTAGAGAAATTCATTGTATACTAAAATAACAATAACTGTTAAAAAATTGATAATAGAGTCCTTGCATATGACGTCACGTCCGGTCGTGTATGTAAACATCCGCCATCGCGGTGTACAGATCTACATTCAAAATGTTGACCTGTTTTGTGAAAGGTTGTGATACTCGAAGTGGCAGATCTAAATGGATTCCTTTATTTCGACTGCTAAGGGTTATGTTAAACCAAGATGACAGAGATTGACAGTTAACAGATCGTAGACGCCGTCAATTTTTAGCCAATATTTATCGCAGCGGTGTAAGCGAAGCAGCGGCAAATAACATGCGAATCTGTTCTCGATACTTTGTTTTGGGTAAGTACAGTAAAATAATAAACTTCATTTTAATTTAAAAAGATAACTGTTAATAAGACAAATATACTCGACCTTCACAAATACTAATAGTAAAAGACAAAGTCAAAAGTAATAATAAGAATAATAAGATTTAATTGTAATAACAGAATAGTGATTTAATATTGAGATCTAGAATCTAGCTTCAAACATGGCGTAAACCAAATTCAGACCACAGATCTAGATTCTAGATTTAGGGTGACTGGCTCCGCTGGGTAGACATAGAATCTAGAATCTACTTATTTAATTAAATTTAATTATTAAATTTAGATCTACATTCAATTTAAAATACACCCATAATAAATCAAAAGTAGTCATAATAATAAAGTATTTAATAGTCTCTAAGATCTAAAAGCTTGCTCTATAATCTAATCATTTTTTTAGTAAACGAAATTATCTGATAGAAATAGATTGTGTGACTAGACTTAGATCTAGAATCTGCTACTAAAATTACATTTTAAAAAGTTTATACAAGCATGTTTAAAATGTTTATACAAGCATGTAGTTGATATTATTGTAGTAGACGGCTTTAATAAATTACTAAGGCCTACATCCTTTGTGTCTTTTTACAGTAATATGTATCTGATTCTGGACTGAGTTTAATAAAATTCAAATGCATATCTAGTAAATAGTCTACTAAGTTTATGTAGCCTAGTAGTAGAATCTAGACAATACCAGCCAACAACAAATAACCACATTATTATTATTTGGTTAATGATTAGGCTAATTTTTTTAAATCCACTGTTTATAAAAGAAACAAATCAAGCTAGAAACATTATAAGTGAGATGGTTTAGAATAATAAAATTGGACCAGGTCTACAATTTACACAATTGCAGGTCTACATAGGGCCTACAATCTAGTAGTTTAAAGTAGGCACCTAGTGTGTAGCTAGTATACCAGTGTGTAGCTGTCCAGAATTAAGATTCTTTGATGTAAAAAGGGATGGTACTTATCTGCCTTAATACTTTCCCCTGATAAGCCATGTGTGCTATAAATGACATAACATGACATGGAGGTGAGAAATGTTGAGGGGAGAGCAGTGGGACTTTCCCCTTTGTTCTCTCTGCTGAGCCCTGAGGGTCATAAATTATATAAAAGATACTGTCTCTCTGGGGCTGGGTATCACGGAGGTGAGAAATTTTCAGGGGAGTGCAGTGGTACTGACTCCTCTTTGGAATTACATGCTACCCAGATTGGCTGAGATCTATCCACGAAACTGTCAATAACAGTATAAGGATCTTCAATTCCTAAGAGTTCGAGTTTTTTAACGAATTGTTCCTTTCCGCGGGTGCGGTTCTTTACAAACAGTGAACGCGTCCAGCGCTGACGAACAGCTGATTTTGTTTACGTCCGGTGTACACCACCGTGGCGGCGGACGTAGGTATCACGTGATTTAGGTCACGTGTTTGCAAGGACTCGATAGTGTTGAAACCTAATAAAAATAGCAAACTTTAAATCTATAGCCGACAGAAAATTAGCCTTTATATTGCGTTAAACACTTACATGGGCAACAATATCTTCGAGGTAAGCCGCCAGTATTGTTGTAAAAAGTAAAAAAAAAATCATGTGACGTTACTATAAGTAAAGTCATTGCTCTGAACTTTTATAATTAATGTGGTTAATCTACCAATGAATAAAGCAATAAATTAATTAACGTCTTTAAATAAATTTGTGATTAACAGACTGTCTAAAAACAAAAAAAAATGTTCTCTACCTAATTACTATTTTACAGCTCTACACATAGTGCAGATTCTCTCCGTAACCAAAGGGACAAAAAAAAAAAAAAAACAATAAAAAAATATATTCAGAAATGTAAACAAACTTGAGGTTTAATAGTATATAAATTTTGTATCCATTTTTAATTACTTAAACTTTTTATAATAGAATAGAATCTTTTAGAAAAAATAATTGCACACCAAGTGAACACAAAATAAAATGTGCATGATAGTGCGAGATATTATTAGTACTTTATAAATTCACATGAGTTTTTTGAGAAATCGGAAATAGCGTAAATTTATACTTCCGGTCAACTAAAATTACTCAAATATTGAAAGAAAAGGGCAGAGAATTTTATCTTTTACTTATACGTGAAATTTTATTCGTCTATTTGAAATAGTACTCAAGTTATAGGCTTTTGAAAAATTCAAAGTAGAAAAAGTTCCAGTTTCGGTTATCGGAAATCGCTGAAAAGTTTATACGGATCTACAGATTTGATATAATACATATATGAAATTTCATTAACCTAGCTGTAACGGTACTCAAATTATCGTGTTTACAGACACACACAGACACACACACACACACACACACATACATACACAGACATAGAGCCACGATTGCAAAATTTATTTTTTCCGACTCAGGGATGTGTAAAACGTCGAGATTTGTAAAAATCTGGAATTTTTTTTTTTTGCACGATTACAATACTTTCTCTATACTATATATACAAGTAAGAAAGTAAAAACAATTGGACACAATACCTAGAATATTAATTAAGACATGCGAACTAGGGGAAATAAATACTCTCTTAATGTAAATATGTGCATTTCTAAAAATTTAATTGTAAATGTCAAAACAGATCATAATAACTTTAGTATGTAATATAGTAGCTTTACACTATTCGTTTTTATAAATATATGTTTTTACAATTAGATTTAAATATATTGTCATAATGAATGCTAAAATATTGCAGCATAATGAAAGTTTTTGAAATCAGAGTTTGTATAAAATCAAGTTTTTCAATTTAATATAAACACTAAATCGAATAGGTGGAACATTTTGAATAATAGCCTACATGTAACTAAATTATTCTTCTTGCAGTTAAGATCAATCAATTTTATATTAGCTACTATTTTTTTGTGTTCTTTAAAGATCATTTTTTTAACATAATGAAAATGTATGTTTTAGGGCATTGTATTGATCACACACCTCTTTACTGGTAATTGCAAAAACAATATTTACAGAAATTTACATGTTTCAAAAGCTATGATTCTGGCGGCAAGGTACTTTGGTACATCATTACGCGTTTCCCCAAATGTACTTCACAGATCAGTTCGGGGTGGGTTGGGGGGGGGGGGGGGGCTCAACTTCATTCACCATTGTCCGGTAACTTTAGTGGAATTATCCTGCCCGGCGTATACTTAGGTGTGACATTAATGTCGATCTACACAATTAAGGCCTGTCCCGTTTTAGGTGGTAAGGTGGGGACGGGGGTGAGGGAACCAACTCAGAGTGAACATAGCGTCAGTTTTTAGATGACTGTTCTAAACATACATATACAATTATACAATTATACTGATTCAGAAATAGATTTAAATAAATACCATGGGTATTATGAACACCCCTACACCCCCCCCTCCCACAATGCCACTGAACCACAATTTATTTATTAATACCGCACACCAATTTAAAAAAAGGGAATGGAATATTCGAGATTATTCTTTGTTGAATGCATTGGAAAAATGAATCAATTTCTACGTTAAAAATAAGGTTGTTTTAAATATAGTTTTCCGTCTTGCACACGTTATGCAAAGAAAGTTGAACAACAGTTGGCCTTTATTAATTTTTACTTTATGTTATATGGCGCAGAATGTGTAACTAAGACAGTGAAATTAGAATTAAAAACCTGGGCGTAGGCCCATTTTATATTCATTCGGTTTAACGTACGTTCTATGAGATTCAGAAAACAAGCAATACATTGTAATAATATAATTGACATAGGTTCATAGTTGAGTTGTGTCCGAGAGCCGACTGCAAAACTGACAAACAAATGCAAATTGCTGTTTGGAAGAACAGCGGAAACATTCGAATTAGTTCTAAAAGAAACTACATATGGGGACAGGAGTTCCAGTTTAATTCAACTACAGTTAAGAACCGATCTGAGGTTAAGATAAAACTCATAATACATGACTCCAAGATTAAGGTAATTGTTTCATAACTCATTTTTAAATTAATACAGATTTTAAAATTATTCTCAATAGCGTTTTCAAACGATTACTGTTAGTTGAACTGGCTTAAGTCTAGTGATAATTTTGTTTTCCCCAGATTTACGTAAACGACGATTTCCTTACAGACTTGAGTCTACGAGGTGTAACCAAAGAAACAATTAAATACGTATCAGTGCGAGAGGGTATTTTTGTGGAATGGATACTATACAGTGTATGTATCTAGTGCAGTTTAAAATTAAACTTTAATATTGAATTCGATATTTAAAGTTAAAAAAATTTAAAATTCGAAATTTATAAATTCACACGTATGCAGTTGCCGAGAACGCAGCTTAGTTCGGTATAATCGTCGATTGTTATGTCGCTATTGTAGGATGCTCTTTAAAACAGAAGTAGGCGCCACAACTGCTAACAGGGGAGACAGCGGTGCTGCAGTCACACGATCGCCGAGTCGCTGGTGGACGCGCCTGATTTGATTTAGTTAGCGATTATAGTAGCCCATTGTATCCGGCTCCCGGTCAAAAACCTCCTGGACATAAACCCCTGGACAAAACCCCCCCGCGACATAACCCCCCCCCCCCCGCCCCGCGACATAAACCCCCTGGATAATAACCCCGACTGAGGTTTATATAAGGAAATAATAACGATAATGAGAACCAAAAAACAAAATTAAATTAAATTAATGTAATTTTGAACGACTAACGATTCTGGTCCCGAGTCAAAAGTAGGATGTTTTTGTTTGGAAGTAAAGACAACGTTAGGTTTTTGGAGGTTAATCAGCACTGCTTTATGGGTGGTACATTCAAAACAGCTCCTGCATTGTTTCACAATTGTACACAGTCCATACATTGGTCAATGGGCGGACTGTTCCATGTGTTTATGCTTTACTTTAATACAAAATACAGGAAACATACACAGCGCTCTTAGACCAACTAACGGTCATGAATACAAACCTGCAACCAATTTCTATTATGATTGGCTTTGAAACGATTGTGATAAAAAGTGTTGAAAGGGTATTTCCAGACTGTGAGATAAAAGGATGCTTTTTCCATCTTAGCCAAAACATATTCAGAAAAATACAGATCTCTGGTCTTCAACAGAAGACCATATGGCAAAATCAAACAACTCATTTGAAGTTGGCCATTATAGAGTATTTGCGAGGCATTGCTCAAAATCTCTCTTTTTAAAGTTATAAATAAACACTATTTTCCTAATGTTTGTTTTGTTTTATAATTATTAATTTTGGTTCTCATCAACTATGGTTTTTCGTTATTTAAACATCATGGGGGGGGGGGGGGGGGGGGTTATCCAGGGGTTTTTTTTGTCCAGGGTTTTTATGTCGGGGGGTTTTTGTCCAGGGGTTTTTGTCCAGGGGGTTTATGTCCGGACACCATTGTATCCGTAGTGTATCAGACTCTTAAATCGAACTTAGGGTCCGTTGTGCCAATGTTGGAGCTTGGGGCAGCAAATCTAACGAAATTCAACTGTATTCCTTAACGTACTACTAATCATTATTTTAAGAATGGTAGTCCCATCCCACATTTTGTGTCAGAATTTTTTTATTGATAAATTGAAGCAGCCAAATTAATATTTTTTACATGGTTAATTCCTTGATTATTCAAAATTGAAAGAAAAAAAATTCTATTCACCAATAATTTAATCCGTCATCAACATACAAAGATACCTCATATAACCTTTATAGTATATATCTATATTCTACTTAAAAATAGAAAAAATGATAATTGAAAAATAAAGAAAAAAATAAAATACTAAGTAAAAAAAAGTCAGTCAATCTGGCACAAACCTTGAGCTAATATTAGATTTAATCATTCCTTTTGTTTTTGTTGCAGATAGCCTCACCTGTAAGTACACTACAGTTGACTGCGAATGAAATATTTGTTTTAATTAATACTGCTACTACACACACACACACACACACACACATATATATATATATATATATATATATATATATATATATATATATATATATATATATATATATATATATATATATAGGTTAGGGCCCTGAAAGCCAAAAACATTTCTGAAGGGGTGGAGGGTGCTGTTTTTCTAGTCCCGTCATGGCAGAATCCCTTTTAAATTGTGATTATGGCGATGACTGACCGGAGTTGGGTTGTATTTTTAAAATTCTGCAATGGCCTAATACATTCATTTGTTTCAAATTAAAAGCTTTTAATTCTTTCCCATTATGAGGGTCGCGTACTTCCTGTTAAAAGATGGCCAGTTGGAGAAAAGATAATCATTAGAGGAACACCAACAAGCACCCCTTTGTAAGTGTTATAACTACTTTGTACATGTAAATTAATGTGCACTTGAATATTTACAGCAGTTAACAGTTTATTTTTGTTACTATCACTTTGTAAAAAGTGAAAAGGGGAAGCAGGCCATTAAGGGGCAAATTAAAAGGAATCCCTTCTCTTAAATATTATTATAATAAGGCGCATTAAAAAATGACATCTATATTACGGAATTAGTTTCAAACTAAATATTATAAAAACGAAAAAATATAAGAATAAAACGAACACGAAAAAGCATTTCAGGTATCAAACTTCCGTGTTTCGTATACCATTGACCGATATGAAGTTACACTTTTCGTAATTTTCCACGGGCATAAATGCGATCAATACGTTATTATTTATTATTTCAGGTCAGAAATATTGCAATGAAATATGTTTATGTACTAAATTAGGCAATTTTAAAATTTAGTCTACTAACGTATATATATATATATATATATATATATATATATATATATATATATATATATATATATATATATATATAGGGTAAAGGTGGGTAAGTAATACCATTCTTGCGAATTTGTTTTTGTTAAGTAAATGACGTCTTAAAGTGGGCTTAAAAACTCCAAACAAACTTGCACATTCATTAAATCCACAAACCCCTTCTCTGTAAATCTGAATAGCTTTTTTCAGGTCTGCTTCAGTCCATGTCGGATCACGTTTTCAAAAAAAAAAAATGCAAAAACCTTTCAATAATGTAAAGTAAGAAGTAACTTCCTTAACAAGATTTGTGAATCAAACTTACAACCCATTGACCAGGTATACTATTAGTTAGCAGCTGTAAAATGTACACAGGTAGGTTAACTAGTACCACCAGTACCCATTAGCCGCCCTAGCTTTGTACGACTGAGCCGACCTCCACTGTAAATAGATTTTTGCTTCCGAGTTTTAATAGGCAAACAAAATCAAGAAATAATGAAGCATAAAGGATTTGTCGGCACCTTAGAACAGAAAAAAACTAGTTACACGTTTCCCTGCTTCATGGTACAGCTAGATAGACATTCTCGATATTACATCGAAGAGTGACAAAACACATAAACTAACTTTGCGTTTCAACTGTACGGTCGTCTCCGCGATTTTTTTTTCTGAGAACACAGATTGCATCATGTAAGATGTATTCAATGTGTTCCCGCGATTTTCTATCGGTCAGGTCAAGCAATGTGGGAGAGGTACGAGTTGCCACCTTTACCATATATAAATTATATATATATATATATATATATATATATATATATATATATATATATATATATATATATATATATATATATATATATATATATATATATATATATATATATATATATATATATATATATATATATATATATATATATATATATATATATATAGGGAAATTAGAGCGGTCGGGCCTAGTGCTGACCCTTCATATAGTTATCGTTGTTATTGTTGTCCGGTGTTGATGCAAGTTAATTATACCACTTCAGTGATCAAAAGACGTGAAAAGTTAAAAAAGAAGTAATTGGGTTAACTGAATCATTCAGTAAAAATATGTTTTTGTTGCTATAAGCTTAAATGGCGGGCTAAATCAACATAAATACTGCTTTCTTTGGAAGCTCCGTACGAATGAGTAGACTGCGATCTTGATATTAACATTGTCAAACGATATCTACGGTGTGATCTTGTTCATTGTTTGACTTCTCTTGAAAGTAATTTCTTCTTGTATTATTTCCGTGTAGCAGTCATTTTCTTCCGTAGGGTCTGTCTCCACCACCAAGGGATGGTATTAAACATACACAAGTCGTGTGGGTTGGTTTTATGATCCTTTCATGTCTAGATGTACAATTCTCTTTTTTTAGTTTTGTCAATCCTTTCATATATGTAATATACACATTTTATCAAATGTATACACGCAAGCTCCGGTGTGTTTTTTGTAGATATGTTTAGAATGTTATACTTAGGTTGAAGCTTAATTATTTCTGATTTAATTTAGGTTTACGGTCGACCTGGCATGTACTGGGGGAGGAAAATCTGATCTTGCAGCGCTCTTTAGAGTTATATTTAATGATGGTAGCCTCAAGAATTATAGAAGTGATGTATTAGAAAGTATCTATGGGAAGTTAGCAACTGTGTATGATTTCCCCTTTCGAATCAATGTTCCTTTCACGATTGTGTGGGTGCTACACCGACCTTTCTTGCAGGTAAGTTTTGACATCGTGTGATTATTTATTTGTTTGTTTATTGTGATATCCAACTGTACAACTGAGATAAATTATGCTGCTTCAGATGACTAACATATACTCAAACGAAATTTGTGTGCTGGTAATCAAGATTTACGCTAATTACTTAAAAGTTGTACAAATGTACTAAGTAGTCTCATCGGCTTTTTACTTTCTCGTATATATGAAGTATAGAGAAAGTCTTGTAATCGTGCACAAAAATCACATTAAATTTGGACAGTTTTCACCGTTTTACTCCTCAGTCCTTCATCACATCCGGGATGTAGAGGACTTATTTTAATGGGACAAAAACTATAAATCCAGATATATCAAAATTTTGGCGTTTTATGCGTAATGGAGTCGGAAAAACTGGATTATCCAATTATGTCCGTATGTCTGTGTGTAAAGACGATAACTTGAGTACCGTTACAGCTAGGTTGATGAAATTTCATATATAAGTATTTTATCAAAATCGTAGATCCGTATCAACTTTTGAGAGATTTCCGATCACCGCAAGTGGCACTTTTTCTACTTTGAATTTTCCAAAAGCCTATAACTTGAGTACTATTTCAGATGGATAAATGAAATTTCACACGTACGTAAAAGATCTAATTCTCTGCCTTCTGTCAAATTTTGAGTAATTTCCGTTGACCGGAAGTAATGATTTTCGCTATTTCCGATTTCTTAAAAAATGCATGTGAATTTATAAAGTACTAATAATA